TAACAAAATGCTGTTTGTGTTCAGGTTTGAATGTAGTAATAATAATGCAAAAACCTACACTTCAAATCAACATTTAAAACAACAAAAAATATAAACCTTGACAAAAATTTTGAGAATGCCTCAATGTACATTTAAATCATTTAAATTGTGTATAAAAACAACTAGGGAATTTACAAGTCTCTCTATATAGTCCTATACAGGAATCTAGTGGTTACACCATGAAATTACAGGGTTTTTTTTGTTGTTGCTCTTACCAGGTGGTGCTATTCTGCCTTAAAAAATTGGATTTTAAAGGCCTAGTCTCTATTTTAATCTGAAATTCTGCATTAATTGAAAAACAATTTTAAAAAATTAGATTTTTTTTTATACTATTTACAATAGGAACAATTGACCATAATTATTGCATAAATATTAATTAGTACCATAAAATTCTTTCAAAATACAAAAGAAAAAAATATTATTGAACAAAAATATATTAGATTGATTTTACTGAAGAAAAAAAGTTACATTTCAGGTGTCCGGTCACTTCTGATCGCAAAGACCATGAGTGTGACTACCAAATGAGGAGCGCACAAGGTAGTCTCACTGCTCCGTCTGTCCTGAATGAGACTGTTGGTGGGTCGGACATTCCCTCAGAGAGGTTGAGAACTCATCCAATCCTTTGGGCCGGGACCTGATGGGCATCTGACACACAGAGAGAGAGAGAGAGAGAGAGAGAGAAACAAACAAACAATGTCCTGTCCCACTTCTTCCGTTAACTAACATCTGGCCTAAATCTCTCAATATCTCTCTCTCTCTCCTGCTCTTCTACTCTCCGTTTTCTTATGAGCAACAAATTGAATTTTATCATTTTGCCCCCTCCCTTACACAGCATTTGTCCGGAACAGAGAGAACTCTGGGTAAGAATGATGATGTTTATGTGCCGGGTGTATGATCTCTCTATTCACTAATCGCTTTTTCTAGGTCTTCATTTTCACCAGTGACAAATACAGTTTTCATTAGGAGGTGGAATTATGGGTACATGGGGCGTTTCGTCACCTTGGAATTATAAGGTTCTGTCTGCCATTTTTGTCAAGATTGAGTTATTCACCTATTCTTATTCTGTGACAACTTATTTAGATTATGTGATGTATTTTGTGTACATTTTGGGACTGATATACGAAAGAGACTTGTTCCCCATATCACTATATGGAATGCAAAAAAATTGAAAGCTCAATATTTTGAAACTGCTCAGAATTCAGATAGAACCTTATAATTCCAAGGTGAAGGTTTATCATGTTTGAAACATATTTAAATAATTGTTTCGAAGTGTAGTTATGATGACAATGAACAGAGCTATTTTTTTCTCCATTTAAATCCCAGTGTAGTCCTCAGACCCTTCACTTTCATTCCTAATACTCAAATGCATTATTTAATATTTTTAAATTCCTTGTTCTTGAAGACCAGTTAAAGGGATATTTGCCCAAAAATAAATTGTGAAAAAAAAAAAAAAAATGCTACTTTATATCTCACAAGCCTGACTTTTTATTGCAATTCTGAGTTTATATCTCACAGTTCAGACTTTTTGTCTATATCTTAAAATTCGTTTAACTCGAGTTATAAACTCACAATAAGACTTTTTTTTCTTAGAATTACGAGAAATAAAATCAGAATTGCAAGACAAGGTCAGAATTGGGAGATAAAAAGTAACAATTATCTTGTTTTTGTAACCTTATTTTTGTTTGTTTATTTATTTATTTATTTGAATTTCTTGGAGGAAATAAGCTTGCAAAACAATATATAAACAAGTTTAATATAAACAAGTGAGCAAACAAACAAATGAATAAATAAATCGTTTGTGTCCCACAAAACAAAAAGAGTGTCATTGTCATACAGTTTCGAAGCAACTTGAGGCCAAATAAATAATGACAATTTACACCTTTTTTTAGGGGTGAACTGTCCCTTTAAGGACAATCAGTCGGTTAAAGGGATACTCCACCCCAAAATGAAAATTGTCATTAATCACTTACCCCCATGTCGTTCTAAACCCCTAAAAGCTACGTTCGTCTTCAGAACACAATTTAAGATATTTTGGATGAAAACCGGGAGGCTTTTGACTGTCCCATTGACTGCCAAGTAAATTACACTGTGAAGGTCCAGAAAAGTATGAAAGGCATCGTCAGAATAATCCATCTGCCATCAGTGGTTCAACCGTAACGTTATGAAGCGA